AAACTGAAATGTACTTATGAAGAAATTATTTAAGAATAAAAGCCACGGGTTATCTTCATAATGTAAATACTACTTACAAGCAGGGCAGAAAATGTACTTATATAACGTATTCAAACGCAGAATCATCTGCATTATAGTTACCGAGACATGACATCAGCTGCAGAAAATTATTATCATCAGTAGTCACAAACTTGTGGTGGTCGATATTTAATATAATCCTTGAACTTCGTATAAAGTTCGTCTAACATGGACATATATACATAGTGAAATGAATGAATTATCCAGTCAATTAAGTGGTTGGTATTAAGGCTAGCAGCGTGAGTAAATGCGGTAGGTAATGATCAAGCATACATGTTCATACATTCTCAACAATGATCAAGGTACAATAATATAGATACGTTTTTGTTGTATGGATGACTCAGTTTGTTAATAAGTTAACAGGATCACTTAACCGAATGAAATGCGAACAAACTCAACTGCGCATTAGTTGCTATAAACTCAACAAGTTCAATTGCTCATTATTTAAAAACGGAACATTATTTTAACAGAAATGTGGTAAGGATTTAAGTTAAAATACGTAGTACGCCACTGTCAACTAGATATTCAAAGAAAAAATTCATAGATGTCTACCATTATCTCACTTAAATCACTCTGTTACGCTATCGTATATGTATGTTGAAAGTAAAGTATGGATTCCGCCTTTTGACATAGTCAACTTTTGTGGCTACTTCAGCAATAGGCTTTTCAGTGAGACTAGATTTTCTTCATGTACCTCGTTGAAAGACGCATTCATTAGAATTGAAGTCTAAACTTATTTTTTGAAATGCTTTTCCGGTCGTTTATGTCTATCATAGGTTAATTGCATGGTGGAGACTTCCTACTGAAATTTTTATGGAAATCGGCTAAACTTGTTAATTTCGTAAAATCTTATTATAATATTTATCATACTTTCCAAAAATAATAAGTCAGTACAAATAAACTCATTATGTGTGAAATTACTACTTATTCAGTCACGTAGAAACCATACACTTCATTCCCCGTTGGTAGATGAGCCAACGTTAAATGGTAGCATAACAGAGAGATTTTAGATATTTTTTCTACAAATGGAACATTGTAGATACTCAGCAATTATCAAACGGTACAATCGTTAAATGATATCCAGGTCAATGTTGATCAATTTACATGGATTTTCAAACGGAATCAGGTGAACTTTTTAATGAACCCTTTAGGTAACTATTCAGAATAAATGAACTATGGAGAGTTGATTTTCATACGATCCTCATCCAATGTCTGTTAATCGTTTGGACTTTAAACAAAGTGAACTCCACAAATATCTTATTCTTACATTATATAGACAAAAAATTTGCATGTTAGTTTGTCTCGAATTGGACCTCATCAAGAAAAACTTATGTTAAAAGTAGGAAGTACATCTGTAGTAAGCCCCAGTTTAAACGTATATGCGAAGTTCTAATTTTGTGTGCTTACTGAATTTACCTTCGCACTACTGAATTGAACTAAGTGTGTAATACAGGATAGTGAAAATATATAAACTGAAGACTTCTCTCTTTATCTAATCTCTGAAACAATTTAGTGTGAATACATGAAAATCCATTTGGTGTGCAATAGAACGAAAACATTAGGAGATGAAGTTGGACTAATGGAAGAAACTTGTGATTCATGACAGGTTATAGACAGTGACAACTTAATACATTCCTTAAATGTTTTTTTTGAATAAATGTGTTAAGCAAGAATTGATCGTCTACATTACAAACCTAATTCTCAAAATAAAATACAATGACAAAAGTTAAAATTATGAGCATATCTACTCTATTTATTGTTTCAACATTTAACACTCATTGAATTTACCATAAAAAGAACCATCAAAATAAACACCAAAATATGATAGATTGATCAAGCGATACATGTTTTAACGTAGTTAAGTTATACATACTAAGTTTATGTCAAGTTAAGGTAAGCTACCAATTAGTGAACAAAATACAGATACCTCCAAACAATATTCATTAATCAAATTAATAAATGAGTTTCTCTCTCGACAACAACTGGAAGAATGTTGTTCCACGCGGTCCTCTTTTAATTTGGACAATATTCCTGAAAAATAAAACATCCGAGCATAGATAGTTGCGTCGGTGATTATTTCTCAGCAATACAAACGTAAAACACTTTAAACATGAATAAACTCGGTTATTGAACTGTCGCTAAATAACTACTGACTGAAATATTTTGACATGAACCATGCAAAATAGAAATATGTATGTAATACACTGTGTGGTTCATGAATCCCTACTTAAGTAGCCCTATCTAAGAAAATGATTGACACTTTCAGGTGAGACTATGATTTATGGACTACTTCTGAGTGACTCTCAAGTGACCTTGAGAATGTCCACCCAATAACTAGAATTAAATGAGGGTGATAAACCAGCGTGGGGAATTAGAATTGTGATTTACGGTTGACGGTGAGTGTTAGCAATTAGATTTATGGATTTTATCACGAACTGACATCAACTATAATGCCAAGATTTTATTTAGCCAAATGGATGAATGAATTTCGCGCCAAGGTCCGACACCCGTTATCCTATACCAGATTGGTTCGTCTATAAATTATAGTCCCGCCTAATTTCACAGTGCAAAATGTGTCTAGTGAAATATTTGGTCTTTCTCATCCGAAAGCTTCTACAAGCCCGGTGAGATGGGCTACCACGCTCGCTATAACATGCTAGTTTGTCTTCAGAAATACGTCAAACTTATTACTCTGACGTAAGTAACTTAGATCCATTTTGCATTTAAGGTTCCTAATTATCACAAGTTGTAAGCAACTGACGAGAACCAAACAAAATAAAGTGGTCTGGAGGTAGTCAACAGGAAACCCTGGACCCGGGTTTCGTGCTACTTGGCACTCGTCAGCAGGTGTACCTGTAATCTTGAGGGAACTGGTGCTCCCTGGCGGATTCGATCTCGTGTCACCCAGCTTCACAGTCAGAGACGTGGTCTTCTATTATTCTGCCGAAATATTTATTTCCGCTCTCCTCAATATGCATTTCATTGACTGGCTGAAATATCGTGTGTAAATAGTGCGCGTGAATGTTGAAGGAGTAAGGGATTATAAATCCAGTTTCACAGGCTTAAAACATTATCCTCATTTAAGACACGTTACTCAGTAGTGATGTTTAAACGAACATGTCTACAGTCTAATCTGTTTACAGGTTTGCTACAAGTGAATAGACTTGCACAGATAGACGAAGCTGAGAGGAAAGTTGAGAAATAACAATGTCATCTGTTTTTGAAAATAAAATCAAGCATAAGAGAGAAAATGCAGTTTTGGTAAAACTGTGAATAGGTCAAGATCTACTCTTTGTTTGCTTGAATTCATTTTGTTCAACGTCTGATCTAATAAAGCCAATGAAATTCGGAAGGTCTTGATGGCACGCTTGAGAAATCCACGTCAGTGAATCACTCGTTCACTGTATATGGTAAGACAAACTCGAACCCTATCAAGGCACTAGTTTTATCGCATTTGTGACGGCCACACATGATGCTCAACACTGCTTATATTTCATAAGAGGCCCCGGTGTTGATATTATAATCACGTTACTCAGCAATTTAAAAGCTTTATGTTTTCCTTTAAAAGATTATGCAAATTATACACGTGAATTTGAAATAACTCTACTAATCATTTCCAAACAAACTCTTACTGATATTTGGTCATTATTGATCGTTATTTGCACCGAATTTCGATGGGTAAAAACTCACCAGCATATGTGGCCATTGTTCCGTTGTTTAAATAACACCAATGTAAATTAAAAGTCTGTCATATTTTCAGGCGTTTAACATGCAAACTTGTTGATGGTCTTAAATCAATTGATCAGTATTGTTTTAATTAGTTGAATTCATGAGTCGATGTAGGCTAGACCACCACTGAAATCCTGGTGATGCTGGACGGCCGTTTCGTTTCAGTATGGGACTCCTCCATTCATGACAGCGACTTTAACTCAACAGTCTGCACGGCCCTATACTGATAGTTATCGTGTTCTCACTAATAACTAACGTCAAGATGAACTTCCTGGAGTTCTTGAAGGAAGCTGTGGTCTTTGAATTTCAGTCTCTCTTTTTTGAAGCCGTCACTCACTGAAGACAACGATGGATAACCACGCGATGTAATGGAATGGTTGAAGTTAGACATTAACACTGTTGAATACCGGCCTTGTGGTCAAGAAAATGAGCGTTCGCACGTGAGACTGAAGCTCCTGGATACAAGTCTTACGTGAAGGGTCGTGGATTCGCACTGTTGATAATAGGGAGGAAAGACCATTCAGTGTCACTAGGTTTTCACTGATGTTCTGGATCAAATTCATCCACAGTTTTAACTATTAACATCACTACAGTATCCACGAAAACCCAGTTTATTGATAATGTTTTGTCGATGCTTTTGAAAAATATTCTGATATTCTATTGCTGAAAAGGCATATATGATGCTTAAAGTATGGGTGAGAATTATAGCACTCAACACAATTTACTGTATGAGTTTTGTGACTGTTCAACTGAACAAAGTATTACACCAACACAATCATCATCAAATGCAGTCGAAAGTCATTCATCGATTTGAATCGAATAAACACTGACAACACACCATATACGTTACTATGAATACACATGATATAAGTAGAACAGAATAAACATACATACTGACGTCAGAGATGAAACAGAATCACTTTTCTATATGTTCTTGATTATCATCCAATTCCACTTAAAAGTCTGTTTCATCATTTGATTAGATACATTTGAACAACTGGTAATGTTTATGTTAAATTCCCTTACACTTCAAATGGATATTCACTCTCTACAGATTTTCACCACTAATCACGCTACGCTGTACAAACTTACTTCATTTAATTTCTCACCTCATCACGAAACAAATTTTAAATCTAAAACTGTGTGATCAGAGTAGCATGATTTACTGGTTTTTATTAGTATACTTGACTAACCTTACACAATGACGTGCACTTTGGACATTGTATATCGATGAAAGCATTTCCACTTCCCAATTGTTGCTCCATATGTAGTGGACCACCACCAACAGGACACTGAAATGCCTTTTCGTTAAATATCACTTGAACACCAATATTTTTTGAACATTGGAACTGACAGTTTTTGCAATCAAGTTAAGGAACAATCAGTAGATAATTAGTATTAAATTGAATAAAAAACAGCATTAGGAATCAGTTTCTAAGAAAATGTCTGTCTAACTATTTGAGAAAAAATCTAAACCACACCAGTTAACAGACGGAATTTTCACATAGGAATATGTACACCATTTTAATTTTAGGCATTTTGTATTATTCAACAGTTAATTTGTCTCTACGTTTTAGAAAAGTGTTGACGATATTTGAACTCAGCAGGTGGACATAGAATTATTGTGTTTATTATTCTTACCGTCTGTTGCTATTACTATCGGGATTTAAGCAGTTTAGGATAATCCAATAGAGGCTATCGATCCATCGGAAAACATATGTCAGCATTGGTTCGCGAAAAGTCCCATCTATATGCAATAGGTTTCGCCGGTCTCCTTGGAACTAAATGCGATGCATCGGTTTAACCCAGCTGATCGCAAGCTTGACAATAAATGTAGATTTTTACCTTGAAAAATGGTGCAACGTTCACGTCAAATTGAGTCGCTTATTAGTCAGAGGATGCTTACGAGTTGGAAGCAGGAGCTGTATCTCTTAACTGCTTAAGGCCCTATCAACTTATGTGAGCCACCGATAAAAGAAATTATGTTGAATGAGACAATCTGTCAGGATAATCGGACGCTTATCATTAATGTTTGACTAAAATTTGGTCAACGATTTGATTTCATTGATGGACGGATTCCCGACCTCCTAACCACTGAATACAATTTAGACGATCCTGTACTCAATGGCTGGTGAAACAGACAGGAACTATATCAAAGTTTCAGAAATTAAATATCATTCCAATGTGTTAAAAATGAACCTATGGTTGTTCTCATTCCGTTATCTCATCAACTCTCTTCAAATTTACCGTTGATGACGTTCTGTAATGAGCTCTGTTGGAAGCAGATAATAACGATCTGACTCTGTTACCTGGGAAAAAGCTGCACGACCTTGAGAAATGGGATGATAATGTCTTGTTGTGTGGTGCTACTTAATTCATCTGATCCTAATGTAACTAGTCGGCAATTAGTGTCAGTTGGTATGGGATATGCTTTGCACCTTCAAAGTGATTAAAGACGACTCTCTATGTTTGATCCTTATTGTTCCTGACGGAACACAGTTTGAACAGTACGTCAGTAACGTGAGGGAATGGCATGTGTGTTTAGGCAAAGCAGTCCAATTCGCATCACCATCTTGATATACCGACTTTAATGTCTTGAACGTGTACTATGAATGTTGTTTTACATAACTTAACATCGTGCATTATTTACAGACGCTGAGATGAGGTCAGTCCATGACATTTTGTGGTGGCATGAAAATTTGTTTAGGATTGTTTGCTGTTGGTCCCTCATGACACTCCGGTTAACGTCCCACAGATGGTGAAGTTCAGCCTCTGTGATTGTTATCAGACATGACTTAGAAAATTAGGAGTAGTGGCCCAAATGTAGTTTCCTTTTCCTACTCATATAAGTGAGAGGATCTTATTCAAATAAAAGAATCCTATTTGATTTAATTCATTTTCTGACAACTGTCAACCCTCATCTACTTATTTTCATCTATCTGTTGTTCATTTTTCAATACGATTACCTTCTCTTCTCTACTTTTTCACAATCTTATTTCCTTGTGTTACACATAAATATCATCGAGCACATGTGTTAGGGGTGCAGAGGAACATACCAATAATTATCATGTTAAGTCTAATGGTGTCCTTGGACTTTGAATGGACATTTCCTATTGGTTAATATTTATTTCACTTGTCAAATATTGTACAAATGTTGTTTCGATTTTATGGTACGATGTGGTCTGGTTGTTTGGTATATAAACAGAGTATGTCTGAAATATAGTGATTCATATCTCAGAGGCTAGACTTGCGTTTTGGACTCAACTGACTGGGCTAGACAGGAAAGCGGGACCAAAAAGAACTGTAGTTCGTTCTTACGTGTTAAACGCGTCTTTGGTCCGATCGATAACACACTGCTCTCCAATCTTTTCAGTCAAGGACGCAACGATTGGCACGGGTAAAAGTCGATCCAAGTTCAAGTCACAACAATTGGCGACGGGGTGAAAAAAAATTTTGAACCCTCAACTTCAAGTCATAACAACACGAATTCTATTTTACTCTAATATGACTTACTTTATGACAAGATGATTTCTTCTTTATAGTGTAAGTTCCAGATTTGTTAACATATGTTTGTGTTTCATCATTAAAACAACCTGAATTAGGACCCCTATATTCCATAAACATGTTTGATATTGAATCTGTAGAAAATTAATAATCACATATATATGTATATTTAATATAACAGTAAATTTGTAGAGTTCTAATTTGTTTTACGATTATAGATTAACATTCTACCCACGTATATATTCTGACAAGATGAAAGTTTACTTCAGTTCATGAAATCAACATGTTTTCACAATACAATCATACAATCCATTTTTTTCTCTTAATCATCACTTTTCCAGCATAAGAATTGTGTGTCCAACTAGAAATATCAAAAAGCTACATAAAGATATAAGTCTATTATTGACTTGCACTGGCCATAAGACATTTTAGTAAGCCGTTTACTACAACGCCAAAGTAATATGAGACGATTAACATGATGTTTTGATTGTTATCAACTAAGGGAGTACAAGTATCATTTATTTCGACAATCTTCTCAATTTTACGAGAGTTTATTTGGGATAAAGTGTGACAGATCCTGTAAAAGTGTCACAGTCAACGAGAACATGAGTTGGGGCAATCGAAAGTACTTTGGTCAAGATTTACAGAATTACTTAGTAAAATCTGAAAACCATACAGTCAATATTTCTTTTGCGGAATATCAATCGTGTCAAACTTGACTTCTCCTTTTGCAAATATCAGTCAATCGTCTCAAACTTCACTGTTCCTGTATTCCCATACCTACTGCTTTCTGTCCTCGTTCTTACCTTCCTGATCTTCTCAATCTTCTTCTGCTAGACATTATATTCCTGACTCGCGTTATCCACTTCTCATGTCGATGTAAGTAGCACGCATCTCAGTGTCAACACTAATTATTGATTTACCATGAAATATCAATATCAATATTCAAATAGGTGAACAAACAAAATATGTCTATAACAAACCTGTTTTCAAATCATCTTTCTGCTCGCACAGGAGTGAACTACCATTTACACCTGGCTGAATCTAAATGGGATGGTTTAAAAAAAACAGCAACTATAGTCTGTATGAAGTATCCAAAGTTCACTATCGTCTCAAGAAAATTTTAATCCATATGACTGAATGATTTAGAATAGGAATACAGAGACATTATCGAAATCTGTTTCCATCAGAAAGAATTGATAAGACATTCAGTGTTTTATGATGATCATGATGATAATAATGATGATTATCTCTGAAAGTAGACGAACAAGCTTTCGCGTGATTTCCTGAAAAGCGATAAGATCATCTTATTACTTCACAATACTTCTAAAGCAGAACAGATTCGGTGATGGAAATAATAATTTATTTAAATATTGTTTTAGAGATAACGTAACTGTAAATGGCTTCAAAATCTCAAGGAATCAGAAATAAAATTATTTACAACAGACACCTTTGCGTATCACTATATGAAAGAACATACGAATACACGCATCTCTTAGTTAAAATAATTACTAAGTAACTAGTGAAATGATATCTTCACGAACCATATCTGATTACGCGGTTCATCTCATGTAAAAATTCCAGGCGCCTTGTACAAGATAATCATTTCTATGACTAACTCCATTTCAGAATAATTACTTGCAAAACTAACTAAAGAATGTCAAATGCACGACGTGAGTGGTTTGGTACCTATCACAATATCACATTGGTTGTCTGATCAACACACTTGTTTCGCACAAAATTATCATACGACTGTAAAATACTGTAACTTACTAGAAGGACTGGACAGTAGTCAAAAGCCATATGGCCTCCATATTTCTCCTTTTGTTTGGCAGTAAAAGGGAACAAACTATCCATATACTGAAACTTTTCGTTTAATTGTTTGTCGTGTTCATATAGAAGGCAGCCACTGATCCCGTTTTCATAACCGGCGCATTTCGGTTCGTTCGGAATATCACAGTACGGCTCAATATCTTGTCCTCTGAGAAAAAAAAATTTGACTTTTATTGAGATGAAAATTTACCACATTAGGTTAACAGCAATTATATCTACTTACGTCATCACGTAGATAAATCAAGAATGATGACAAATTATTTTGTGTAGATGATAATATACCTACATCCTTGCTTAGTAGCTCACTCTCAGACTGATCTTCGTAACTTCAGACTCAAATTCGGAGGTGTATTTCAGGGGATTCTCAATGCAGGTAGACATTAGTATGTCGAACAAGTCTAGTGACCATTATGATACACACTGACGGACAAATGTCAAAAACCAGGTTCAAAATCAACCAAGGCAGAATACAAATCCTATTGAAAATAGTTATGACTAATGAATATAAACGCTTCAACATGTTACATAGTTGAAGATTCTCACTCTTCTCGTGACATTTTGAAATTCGGGTATGTTCTCGTCAAGAACACTGAGATTTTGTGATCTGGATCTGACATTTTAAGTAAATTTATTATCTAGATAACTGTTCCTCAACTTGAAGCTTTTCCACATTGAATCACTTCATCATGAAACACATGATAAAATTTTGTTACAAAGTGTAACACATCAGCAACGTTTACAGCTGAGTTGAAGACTGTAATTGCTGGACAGTGTGTGTTGAAAAATGTAAACATGACTGATAACGAGATCGAAATCATATACCGTTCATATGGTTCGACTGTTACTCATACTTGTGAAGCGTTAGGAGAGGCAATTTTTTAGTTGCTTATAGCGACCCACGTGCAATTAAGTTTAGTTCAGTCAAGGTCTTTTGTTGACCTATTTAATGGACAAAGTCATCCATACTATAAAAACCTGTTGTACTGTTATTATTAATGTGCTTGTATGAAATACATGTGCTTGAACATTGTTTAGCGCCCACGCATGTATTCATTCTGCTAGCTTCATTATTAACTGCTTAATCTATTCGCTGACTCATCCATTTTCCTATACATATATATATGTGTACTTTTACATCCATTCACTACAACTACTCGCTACTGCTACTGCTACAATCGTAGTTCACTTGCTCATCCAGTTTGCCTCTATGCTGTCTGGTCCGAACTATCTGCTAAATAAACTGTAGTAGCTGCTTCTTTTTGCCTTCTGATTTCAAACATCGTTGAAGATTATAAGGTAACTGTTCGAGGGTGATTAGTTATCGAAGCACAGCCACTACATGCTCAATATAAATTTTAAAAAGTTCAAGCATAAACACATAACGTGTCTATTTTACCTGCTTTTTCTGTCCTTGATGTATTCATAACAGCTCTTCAACACGAAATCACAACCCAATCCTTTTCCCCATTTGAAATCATCCGCCATAGAATAGTCGACATCGTACATGCTTTAGTGAGCAAAATAGATTGAATAAGACTGTGATTACGAGGGATTGTGGTGTGATGATATTTTGAATATTGATTTGTTATTTGGAATTAATTTAGCCTTCTCTTTTATTTTTCAATACAGGTTGTGAGGTCAGAGGACGTGAAGCCTGCAAGTGTTGTAGATCTAGACTACTAACATCATATATAAGGAGAAGTCGTGAGATACTTCCAATGAGTTTGACCGATTGTTGTGTAACTAAGCATGACTAACAAGCACAAACGAATTTCAAACTTGAAAGGCATTTAGAGAGAATTATTCAAATATGGAAGTATCGCTTTATGGCTTGACCGTAATATAATGGTACTCTACATTGTACAAGTTGAAGTATTCGTCGGTTCCCTTATTACCGTTAGTACTATATTTTTCAGACATTTATTGACCAATCCACGATAGAAACCTATTGAGTCATCAAAGAGTGGGAGTAAATAACAGCTCAGAAAATTCGCTTTTTGATGATCCGACCTTGTGAAACTATGCAGCTGTAATTGCGATTAGCTTCTGAGAATAGAAGTCTCAACTAAAACAGATGATTGCTTCGTTATTGTCACACGTGATGAAGGATACTCCAGTGTCAGCGTATTCCAATATTGCGTAACTTTAAATAAATGTAAGAATTTTGAACTGTGAACGATCATCAATTCCACTTCGGCGTATTGCCATTCTGGAGTATGAAAGTGATTAACTAGTTATACGAATAGTTGTCATTATTAGAAAAAGTGGTTATACAAAAGGTGGATGCCGAGTACAGTGAAGCCATCATATGTGAAAATTACATTTGAAATTATATCAACGTTTGAAATTTAGATCATTTCAACGTTTGATTAATCGATTTATACTGTTGTTACTGTAACCGTTTTCGAAAGAAACAGTTTTACAGATAATGTTAGATTGTTTTAAATGCCTCAGATACGTCTGCTACAAACATAGCTTGAAGTGCAAGGTCTTATGTAGACTCACAGACAGCCACACAACTTGTCTCTTTGATTCTAAATAAGGACAGCAACACCAATGAAGCTTTATTCATAAAACTACTTCAGTACTACTTCAGTTTATATTGATTCATGTCTAGGGAAGACAGGTGCAGGAGTAAATAAGGCGTTTTAGTACGTCTTAACTATATTACGTCATATCAGGTACATTCCATGTAAACATTTGTGAAGTCTATCACGATTTAATTAATCTCATATTTCAACATGTAACACTTACTTTATATCCTCGAAATAAGCCAGAGTTATTCTTGAAACACGTTTTGATTCAAATGGATAAGGTGTCATCAAATCATTCTGATGAAAGTGAGGTGACATTGAAACGTTAGGAATAAATCAGTATGGAACTTACATGATTGTGGTTCTTTCATATCACGATTCAAATCTCACTATGAAAACTAAACGCTCGAGGTTAACTTTTACATGGGATTCCTGCTATATCGTTCAAAACTGCCGTCCTATCGGTCATTTATTTATTTACAAAACGTGTATGGTTTTATCTTTATGTGCTGCTTCTATTCAGTACCAAAAGCTGTTTAAATATTGACGCTTTTAATTGTATTTTGAAAATAAATTGCATTAGCAAAATCCTCAGTGATTTACGGTATTCATGTGTTGATGCATTTAGACATTAACACCGTTGGATGCCGGCTCAGTGGTCTAGTGGTTAAGTGCTCGCGTGTGACGCCAGTAGGTCCTGGGTTCGAGCCCGCGTGGTGCGGCATCGTGGATGTGCACTGCTGAGGAGTCCCATACTAGGACGAAACGGTCGACCAGTGCTTTCAGGTTTTCCATGGTGGTCGAGCTTAAATCGACTCATGATTTCAACCGGTGATATAGATACTACAGTTGGTTTTATTCTGACTTGACAACACAAAATTGCTTCGAATACATGCTAACTTATTACTTATCAGACTAGGAGTATTTACTATTTTATGAAGCTTTGCTACCGATTTGTGACATCTGAGTTATGTAATGCTAAGTCGAGTGTGTTGAAAAACTTAAAAATGTTGCAAACAATCTATGAAGCATCATACGAAATCTGTGAATGTCTAACTTGTTTTCTACTTCAATGTTACATGTTAAACTATTATTCACTTAATGCACTCAGAACAACGTTGATACTTGTCATGTTTTACTTCTCTACATACTCAAACAGCAGTGTGCATACAAACGTTTTCTGTATATGGAAAATCAAACATGTTCTACATGAACGGTATTCAGAGGACAGATTATTCTGCTGGATGAATAACTAACTTCAAATATCTATGGTATAAGAAAACTCACTCCCATTACTCTGTGACTCAAATGGTTTTCATCCAGCTCGATTCCTTGTAGTTGGCTGCAGTCGAAATGTTCTCTTGCTTCCTTCTTCATTCAGATAAACGATGTGAAGTGTCATTAGGCGTTATCAATAAAAAGTCAATTAATAATGAACGAAAATCATCATAATGTAAACTCAAGTTAGTAATTGATGCATTAAAACAAGAGGCATAAGAAAGAAGCGAGTTGCAGATGAATCTGGTTCAGATGCGTGATTTAGAAATATTCGTGTTGTTTTTGGATTGAATATTCACCTCAAATCAACTACTTAACTCTAACTGTATTGACATTGGTGTGAATTATAATGTTTATGGTCATTTTCACTGCATTTGGATCAGTCTGGATTGGCAAATGCTTGCACTGGATTCCACTTCCGGCTATATTCCATCCATTCTCAACAAACTACTGCTACACTTCCCAATCATTTTCGTTATCACCGAATTCCAGTTGAACCAATGACAATGACTTACATAAAACCTCTTCACAAATCTTGAAAGTATGAATGATACTAGTGACGAATTGCAAATGTATGCCGGATAGGGCTAATTCACTTTCTATTTCTTACAATCATACGCTATCCTACTTACTGAAGTCAGAAAGCATCACAATTCATGATGCCGTACATGCTTTGACATTTCTCAAATAATTTCATCACATTTGTGGCCGTGAACAACGTGTTATGACCCATTGTAATTCCTCGTCTTATAATTACCAAACGACGAGTTGTTTATTGCATTGCATTCCATCCTATATAACAGAATCACAATGCCAACAAACAACCAAGACACAGATTTATTAGAAATGAAGTAGAAGTGAACTGACAGGTGTTGTGCTCTGTCGATCATCGAATCTCAGTTTGACTGCACTAGGATAGCTCATGAATTTCACTGAGCCAATTAATGACGCTTCTACGACAGATTAACACCAATATGTTAAAGACATGGGCTTCCAAATCACACACAAATGGACTGAATTAACACCAACTGTGAAGAAAAATCAAACCGAATGCAAAGCAACGCTTGTACATGTATCAAGAAAAGACCCTAGGACATGACCTTTTGTATCTAAAATGTACTTCATATGAATTGTCGAACAAATCCGACAAACGTTGAATATATATATATATATATATATATATATATTACTCGTGGAATCTATGTTTATGCATGTCACCTAGAATTCTTTGGATTGAGTTCGAGTAAGTGGAATTTCAAGTCACAGAGAATGTGAAGAAAAGTAAAGTTAAGGAATCCATCAAATGAAGTAAAACATTTTCCCAAATTGTCATTTTCAAGGACTCAGTGAGAATGACGATCATTGGTAGTATTTATATTTCAGATGTTGACATGATGCAGTTTAGTAGAAATGCTTCTCTGTTTATACGAAGTAAATATGCAACTTACCAGCATCTTTGGTAGACTGAGAATTTTCTTTTGTATTTTGTAGGTTCCTTTAGTTGATAGCCAAGATAGCGTTATGTTTTGAACAGATCTAGGGATTGGAACAAAAACATACAGTGATGTAGATTGAACTTTGTGAACTGTCACTTACTCCACTCAAAATAAATCTTTAATGTCTAGAAGTAAATTTCATGCATTGGCTAATTAGAAAACTATATTTTATATGATCCGTTATCCTGTCACTTCCACATGGATTATTCTGGCTTTTGGGCAAACCAGGTAGTTTATTCTTGACCATACATTGGACACATATTTTGACCTTGTCAGCTATCCACTCAAAACTTTGTATAGTAGGTTATTCATCACATGTCATTAGGTTATTTTCTATCACGTCTTTATCATAGGGAGTTAGAAGGCTTTCCGTCTTTGCATCGTCGCGAACCTGTCATACTGACTTCTGTCTGAGTAAATCAGTGCCTGAAATATACTCGTCTAGCTCAATTGGTATTTGGATTTTTATCAGAGCCACCTCTCAGACAAAGTTGTAAGAAGTAGGATATGAGAAATCAAACGGTGAGTTTACATTAATCGTTCAATTTTGTTTATTCATAAAGGAGTTAGAAAATGGTCTATAGTTTCAACAGACACTGTGTAATGGAGATTTATTTAGGTTTAGCATTCCAACTGAGAAATGAGTAGAATAAGATGTCATAAACTCTTTTTCTGATGCCCGAATATTCCCACGCGACACATCAGTCTGATTGTTGCTCTTATCAATGATCAACTACTGATCCTTAGATAGAGGACAAAAGGATTAACATGTGAATGGACGCTTGTTCCAAAGTAATTCTGCATACAGAAACATGTGTTGTTATACTTTCTGAAATTTCTATGCTTGCACCCTTTTTATGTTTCGAACTGCGACTTTCACTTTCCACCTACCGACATAAATAGTTACGTATATCCCTCTAAAGTTAAAATGTGGACGAATTTAAACACATGCTGACAGATAATAAAAACAACAGTTTACAACCACTTTTATTATTACTCACGGAATTTTCGCTGACATCAACTTTTCCGACCCAAAAATTGAAGGATGAAATCCCTTATGAATAAAATAAGAAATTAATGTGATTCAATTTCTTATTCGACTTGTACTCAACGATTAGAGTCTTCAAATGAACCATAAAATCTGTTTTATAAACAAAAATGTTATACTATTTGATTGATATCATGAGCCGATTGATGTTAAACCACCATCGAAAACCTGAAAGGACTGGACGGCCGGTACGTCCTATTGTGGGAATCATCAATAGTGCGCATCCACCACCCTGCTTGTGGGATTCAAGCACGCGACCTGCGTCCTCGCGCACGAACGCCTAAACTCTAGACCACTGTGCAGGTATCCAACATCAACCACTTCATAATCTCAATCAATAATATAATAATCTTCACAGCCCATACTGATAATTTTGTGGTATTTCGATTTTTCAGTGAATTCAAACATTGTTTTATACATTAAATCAACATATCGACATTTTATAATACACCATATAGAAATCGCTTAGTATCTTCTGTCTTTACTGCTAGACTGTACACTATTCGAATGAATTCAGCTTTTCATCAGTTTGAATTGTTTCTTACAGTGAGCAGTTCATATAAATAATGTACAAACTATATGAGCATCATAATGATAGTACGCAGTTATAATATGGTTTCCATATTTGGCTAATTTAGTTCAGAGAAACTTGTATAATAATTAATAAATTGTGAGAAGTGCAAACGCAATTACACAAATTGTAAAAGTTTATACCGAACACAACAGAAATGAATTTGTGATCAAACTAATTAAACAACTGCACTACTCATCGTACTAACCAAATGCTGAACGAAACAAGATTATCTGTACGTCAATGTACGGGGACCATATTTCATAAACTGAAAAGAACTTACAAGTATATGAGCTAGTTCACGCTTTATTACATTGATCAACTTGTCATCGGATATTGTGATTAAATCTTTCTCAGGCAGACAATAATTCAATACGCCCATAAAAGGCCTGTAGAATTAAATACAAGTATTGGATTACATTACTTATAAAGCTTTAGTTCATTACTAATTATTTTCCATGAGATATTGTACCGAGGAGTGACGTTATGTGTATGATAAAGGTGAAGATAGACAGTCACACTGAATATAATAAAACTACATTATACAGAAAAAGTGCTTAGATCCAGATAAAATAGTCATTCCAAGTGAACGCAACACTACAGAAACGTCATACTCAATCCATCAACATATAACATGAGACATATGGTTTGTCCTAATGCAAGAAAACATCTTGGTGCTACACATACACAGTAACAAGGTGCGTAGATGTGACATATTTTGAGCATTGAATCTGCTGATCCACATTTCATGTTTGATCGGGCATAAGTGGATCCAGTTGATAACACCATGAACGTGATCATATAAGGGATTTCGAGATATTGTTCAACTAATTCGAGATAATTGATGTGTACTCGTTTGTTCATCGTATCACACTGTAATATTATAATATTCTGTTCTGGGGCTGTTTGGTTTCTCTCATCACCGATGGAAATCACCATGACACAAGACGAACCTGTATCAAATAACATACACCAATTTTCCTTTCAAAATGATATCCATTATGATCGAACACCTTGTAAACATAGGTCACCCAATCAAGACAGTCTCTGCGTTCAAATCATCTACAAGGTAAGTTGAAGCCTTCCTAAGAGAATCACACTGCATCTTCTCTGCATTGGCAAGGCCATTGCCATGCAGTTTGAAAAACCAGAATTATGTGTACAAAGGAGACTGATACAACCTCTTCTTCTACCATAGTCTTAATGTATCAAAATTTTTCGCCTTCGTCATACTCTTGTTCCCTTGCAGCCACCTGCTTTACCTTCCATCTTCCCTTCAAATCTTCTACCCCCAACCGGTTTGTTTTTATTTCCACGATCATTCCGATTACATTTCATCTCTGTTTCAACATTTTATTTTATCATGCTGAGCCATCCTTACCCGATGAATACTTGAATCATTTACTATCAAACGATTATTTACTTTCGTTGTTAAAAAAAATTTGCGATTGTACAGCTTTGAAAATGAATTCGCCGAAAAGAGAACTCTTCGCTGAACTAATCTTTCTTTCTTACAAAAGGATATCTACATAGATATGAGGAGAAATGTAGTCAATCATTGTTCACAGTAAACAGCAGTTAGTCTCTTAAGTATAGACCTACAGTCATAACATTTTTTTCGTCCTAAATGTTTATTAACGAGACCGTAGGTGACATGCACTTAAAACCCTTGAAAGTATTTTTTGACTGCTTGGAAGCAGAGCACAACTCCGCACCGCAGCATAATTTGATTGATACAACATCCAGTTGATAAGGGAGATATTAAAGTCATCTCCAACTCAGCTTGTACCTTCATTTCACTGTATAGTATAATTTAAGACCTGTGAAGGTTGGCTAATTCAGGAGAAGTTGATTTGAAATCAAATATTGTCAACGAGTGAGTGATATCATACATATATTTAAATGAAAGGGCAGCACGGGAGTAAGTTAAAT